GGGAGTCTGCTTCTCCCTCCGACCCTAACCCCTCTCATGTGCTCTCTCTCTCATTCTCTCTCTCTCAAATAAAAAAAATAATAAATAAAAAAAAATTAGGATTGTAAACTATCATCTAAATTTGATATTGCCATGATTTCTAAAGATTTGTTTTCTTTGAATTGTGCCCTTTTCAGATTTTGAAATATTTAATAATTCACTGGAAGTGTGAAACAGCAGGAACATCAAAGGGAGCATTGCTAGAAGGACAGCTAGTGATTTCCATGGAAGCATTAAATTCTAAGCATCAGGCAAATACTCTTCATTGTGTAACAACTAGTAAGTAGAGGAACAAATATTGATTTTCTGTCTTTGTTTTGTTATGATTTGTTATAGTTAATTTAAAAATTTAAGTTAGTCGTAATCTTTTATCATGTTATCACTCCGGGGTTATTCCATAGTTAAAAAAATTAAATAATTATGCAATAAAGTATCTGGTGATAGATTTACAAATGTGTTCTACAGGAAAGGTGAATACAATGACATCAGAGGATTATTTATTTTACTGGCTTAAGAATTCTCAGAAACAATCTCCTTCTTGCTCTTGGTTTTAACCTCCTTTTTCACAGCAGAATTATATTACATTGAATTTTATCTCCTTTTCCATGTCCAGCCTTTGATAGTTGGAAGAGAGCCAAAAAATAAAGGAAAAGGAAAAGAAAAAAATGATAAATGGTGCAAACTTTCATAATTCTAACTTGCAGTTAGTTTGAAAATAAACCTTTTCCATTTGGCTTTTATTCTCTCATTGTTTCTGCCTACACTCTTGAGGGAAAGCTGATGCATTGAGTGTCCCTGGAAGAACGAACTCTTTTTTTTTTTTTTAAAGATTCCATTTATTTATTTAGGAGAGTGAGACCGAGATAGTGAGAGAGAGCATGGGTAGGGAGTAGAGGGAGAAGCAGGCTCCCCGCTAAGCGGAGAGCCTGATGCGGGGCTTGATCCCAGGACCCCACGATCATGGCCTGAGCCAAAGGCAGAGGCTTAACCAACTGAGCCACCCAGGCGCCCTAACAGCTAACTTTCTTGAACTTTTGAAGTGATAACTTTTTTGTTTGGTTGTGTGTGTGTGATAGAGAAGAGAGTGTGTATGTGTGTGTCTGTAGGTTTACTGAAGGATACTTTGGGATGAAGTTGTTCTGTCAGCCTTACAGGAGTCATCCTGCGTCCCAGCTGAGACTGAATAGTACTTTAGGCTCTACAAGACATTGTGTCACTGAACTGGAAAGCCATGTCTTCTCTTTGGGTACCTAGCATTAAACATCCTTGAGAGAGATATGACAGGTTGGTTTGCTGTTACCGTGCGTGAACTCCATTCTGACTGGACAGAGTTCCCACAGTTCATAAGAGAGTTTTGGTTAGCTAGATGGCTAGGGTGATGCTGGTCTGTATATGGTTGTGTTAGTTTATGCATTGATTCTAATCCAATAAACTGGCCAAGGTAGCAGGATGCATTTCACTCAAAGCGGGGGACTTGAGCCATAGTAGCTTTTAGCAAAAAACCCAATTCCATAGGCATTTTGAACCTAATGGATTTGTTCAGCCCATATGAAATATAGGGGCCTTTCTCTTCTCTTTATTGTTTTTATTGTCTCTGATCTTCATGTAATAATTTTCATAATTTTTTGGTAGAAGGAAGGTTGATACATGTTTATCATAAAACATTCGAACATTACAGACATATATTTATGGAAAGTGAGACTTTCTAGTCATTTCATCCCTTGAGATAATTGTTAATTAACGTTCAAAAGTGTTCTGCCAGACTTTTCTATGTGTAAATTCATAGCCTCTCACCAGGTAGAGAAAAAGCCAGATTGCGAGTGTTCTGGGATGGAGGGGTAAGAGAGATAGCTCAGCATTCAGTCTTTATGTTCATTCAGGCCAATTATTTTTAATACAACTTTGGCCCTCAACTCAAAAACCCATGCTTCTTCCTTTTCAAAGAATAACCCTTCCCCCACCCCCTGCCAAGGTTAGGAAGGGTCAGTCCCTAGAATGCTGAGTGGAGGAAAGAATCTAAAGACCCGACTACTTTTTTTTTTTTTTAAGATTTTATTTATTTATTTGACAAAGAGAGACAGTGAGTGAGGGAACACAAGCAGGGGGAGTGTGAGAGGGAGAAGCAGGGTTCCTGCTGAGCAGGGAGCCTGATGTGGGGCTCGATCCCAGGTCCCTGGGATCATGACCCGAGCCAAAGGCAGACGCTTTAACGACTGAGCCACTCAGGCGCCCCTACCCGACTACTTCTTAAATTCATTTTTCCAACTAACTCTCCTTATTTTAGCTCCCACCCCACCTCTAATTCCAAAAGTTCCTGATTCTACCATTCCTGAGTCTTTGGGGGATTTTGTTGCATCATTTGGATTGTTTCTTGGCCTTTCCCTTTTCTGGATTATAATTCAGTTTCTAAGGTCCCCTGAATCCAACCTACTAGTCCTTCTGCTTTTCAGTTTCTAGAATTTTACTATCATCATCTTTGTCTCTAATCTGTCCTTATGGGTTTATTCCTTTAAAAAATACCCCTTCTATTGTTTTATTGCAATTTCAGGAGGTAATAAAAATAATGGGTATGTTCAGTCTGCCATCTTTTTTTTTTTTAAAGATTTATTTATTTTAGAGACAGGAGTTAGAGCGAGAGCTAGTGGGGGAAGGGCAGAGAGAGAGAGAGAGAGAGAGAAAGAATCTGAAGCAGGCTCCACGCCTAGCCCGGAGCCCCAAACAGGGCTCAATCTCATGACCCTGATCAGGATCATGACCTGAGCTGAAACCAAGAGTCTGATGCCTAACGAACTACACCACTCAGGTGCCCCTCAGTCTGCCATCTTTACTTGAAAGTATGAAGTGATGTGGTTGGTCTGAAATCTCTGATGATGAAAAACAATGTATTAGTTATCTAGGGCTGCTATAACAAAGTACCACAAACGTAAATTTATTCCCTCACAGGTATGGAGGCCAGAAGTCCAAAATCAAGGTCTAAGTAGGGTTGGTTCCTTCTGGAGACTCTGAGGGAGGAATCTATTCCATGCCTCTCTCTTTGCCTCTAGTAGTTGCCAGCAAGCTCTTGGTGTTGGTTTGTAGGCATATCACTCCAATCTCTGCCTCTGCCTTCATGGGATAGTCTCCCTCTGTGTTTATCTGTGTCTGTGTCTTCATGTAGCCTTTTTTTTTTTTTTAAAATTTTTTTTTTTCTTTGAAAAAGAATGATGGTCTTTAAGTTACCAGTAGTTTCTACTGCCCAGACCCGAGCAGCCCTCTGCCTCCCGAGGCTACATGTCGCCGTAGGTGCAGGTGGGGTCCGCGTGCAGTTACGAGGCCGCACCAGCAGAGGGCGCAGCGCCCGCGGGGCTCGGGGCGGGGCCGCGGCGGCGCTTTTCTCCCCAGCAACACCGGCCCGCGCGCCGCTCGAGAAGCGCGGCCAGCCGGCGGCCCCGCGGGGCTCGGGGCGGGGCCCGAATCACCCCCTCCCCGCCCGGCGCCATGGCAACCGCGGCCCCTCTCAGTTCTCCGCACCGCTCCCCGGCCCGGGGTCGCTGACCTTCCCCGGGGCTAACGCGGCGGCCGCTCTGGGGCCGACTCCCGACCCCCGCCACTTTCCGTGTGTGTGCCCCCCATAATGCCGCCTTCCGGTCAACCCTGGGCCATCTGGGTACCCCCCACAGCTTGCGGGGCTTGGGCTCCGCAGTTTGAGGACCCCCACCTTTGTCCCTACTCCTCCTTTCCTCCAAAATCTGTATCCCCGAGACAAGCAATCCTTCCTTTAACGGCACTCACCGCCCAGATTTCCCAAAATTCGGCCTCTGTTTTCCTTTTCAAATTTTCCTCTTTGGGCACCTCCAGTTCATCTCCCTTTAAGCGATTCTCTCATCCATCCCCTCTCTCGAGCATCCTTCTTCAGGCAGGTAGGCCGGCTCTCTTTCCCAAAGCGTCTCCATGGTGTACGTGGTGGAGATTCGCCTGCTCGCAGATCAGATTCTCGGAATAGTCATCACTGCAGCTTCTCTCTGCTCCTTCTCAGCTCCTCTCATTTATCAACCAGGAGAATTCTGGCCTACTCACTGTCTTAAAAGGGAGTGGGGGTGGGGGTGGACATTTCTAGGCCTGGCACAGCTGGGTTTCTCCTTGGTTTAGTAGCATCTGAGTGGTCGAAGGTCTTAGGTCCTTAAGCAAGGTGAACTGCTATCTGCTTAAGAGAGAAAAGAATTATGCTCAAATAATAATAAAGTTATAAAGTGTCAGCTGGGTATTAAAAGTGCATTATCCCATGTGACCTCCCACCCCACTTTCCAGCTCTAAGAGGTAGGTACTGATCTTTCAGACTAGGAGACTAAGCTCGCAGATGAACTAGTTATAATAGATGGGGCTTTGTACAAAACAATCAGAATTTAACCATTAGATTATTCTGTTCCTGAAGATGTGGGCCTTTTTCCAACAGGGAAATGCCCGAAATGGCCAAGTAAGGGCAATGTGAAGAATAGGCTTTGCATGAATTATTGGGTGTAAGGTTTTATTTATTTATGGGTAATGGAGTTGTAGGATTTTGCTCCTTTCTGAAAGGGCACACTTAGTGAAACAAATCTGTGATTGAAGTACTTTCCAGTTATGATTTTGGCAAGGTGAAATTATTTGTTTTAAATTTATTTGAAAACATTTTCAAGGAAGAAAAGGAAGAAAAAGAAAAAAAAGCCCTGCTACCAATCCTATCTGGTTTTATCATCTCAGCTACCTGGCCTTGGTTTTCCTAATCTATAAAATGGGTTGAGAGGGGTATCAAGGAGTTGCACAAAAAGATGACCTTGAACCTCTCTTCTAGCTCTGATAGTCTGATTCTACCACTAAACTGGAACAGTGATTCCACCACCGAACTGGAGCTTGATCTTCTGGGATGTACCTCACCAGTAGCTACAATTTGGGCTATTTATTACTTATTTTTAAACAGTCACTCCTTCCAGCAATAGAATCAGAGAAGTGAGGGCATAAGCTGCAACTGTTTCCAAGGGTAGGAGTGTCTTCAGGGGGAAGGAGGAAATGAGGTATGTTTTTGGTCATCAAAGAGACTTGGTCAGGGATGTTAAAGCTGTTGGGGTGACAATCAGCTGATCTCCCAAAGGAGCCAGAACACCCAACCGGCTGCTGCTGCTTGGTATGGGAACCAAGGGTCTCAACAACAGCTATTGGATTGTGACCCAGTTCAGAAGACAAGGGTATTAGGTCTTATCGGCAGCACACTAATAAGATCTTTTCTATAGTATTTCCCATTTTTAGCATTTCATAATCCTTTAAAAAGCCTTGCAGGGTAAACATCATTCTCATTTTCTTGATGAGCGAACTGATGTTCAGACACCTAAGTGAATGCCCAAGTTCAGAGTTAGTTCATGGTGGAGACATCAGGTCTTCCAATTCCTAGTATGTTCTTTCCCTTCTGCTAGAGAGAGTATAACAGAGTGGTTAAAGGCAACAATTTTGGAGTCAGACTCTTTGGGTTTAAAAGTGGTTTTGCCACCTACTTGCTGTTGACCTCAGGCAAGTTACTTAACCTTTCTGGGATTCAGTTTGCTCACCTGCAAAATGGTATCATAAGGTGGGGATCAGATGAGTTATTGCAGGTAAAGTACTGGAACGGTGCCTGGCACATAGTAAGCCCTCAACCAGTGTCAGCCATTGTTATTTTACACATTATCATTTTACCATACTATTTCCCAATTTGGGGAGGAAGCATGCTGGATAAAGAGAACACTGAGATCACTGGTTTCAGTTGCTTTGGCAACTTGTTATTTTGCTCTGTAGTACATCAGTATAGTCAATGATGAAGAAAAAAAAGTCTGCTTCCTTTTTATGTGAGTTGCAAAAGTGAATGGAATGAAATCCACCAACAGTGCTGAGCTTCTCAGAGAATCCAGATTTGCTACTTATGTTACCAAGATTCATGGAAAGGTCTTGGTAGCACTTCCTGCCACCAAACCTACAGACGTAGCCGAATGTTCATCTCTCATTCCTGTACCATGGAAGAGGTGTCTCTCCTGAGAATGATTCTTCTGGCTTCTGCACGAAGTGCCAACCCCTCCTCCAGTCTCGTGGCTCCCAGTCATTCTGGTGAGTTCCCTCTCTTCTGGCTCCTTCCCATCAGCATTTGAACATGCTAAAGTATCTGCCAGCTTAAAAAACAAGTGAGAGACCCTGATCCTCCTCCATGTCTTGCCCTTACTCTTTATGATCACAATCTTCTTGAGTGATTTGAACGCATTGGCTCCACTACCTTTAAAAACTTTTTCCTCGGTGGCGCAGTAGGTTGAGGGTCCAACTCTTGGTTTTGGCTCAGGTCATGATCTCCAGGTCCTGGGATTGAGCCCTGTTTCAGGCTCCGCATTCCATAGAGTCTGCTTGAGATTCTCTCTCTCTCCCTCTGCCCTTCCCTGGAGCTCTCTCTCAAATAAATAAATCTTAAACAAACAAACCAACCAAACAAACAAAAACTGTCTGGCTTATGTGTCAGGCACCATGCTGGGATCTGGGGATCTAATGGCGAATAACCTGGACAGTCTCTATCTTCTTGGAGCTTATATTCAGGTAGGGTTGACAGACATTAATAAAATAACCCCTTAGATACATAATCACAAATTATAATGAATGAAAGTTTCAGGATGCTAGGTGAGAATCTAACAGAGAGTCATAATCTGGTTGGGGGCTGTCAAGGAAGACCTCCCTTAGATCATTTGAGCTGAGATCTGACATAAGAGAAGTGTTAACTAGGCTGAGAATGGGGGATGATAGTAGTGGTAACTAACACTAATTGGGGACTATATTTTTAATACTTTATGCATATAATTTCATTTCATTCTTGTAAAAACTGACAGGTAACTATTAACCTCATTTCACAGAAGAAAAAATGGAGGCATAGAGAGATGAAGTGTCACGCCCAGGGTCATTTAACCAGGCTTGGGTAGGGCTGGGAATTTTAACCCAGACATCTGGCACTTGAACCACGTTCTTAGCTACAGAAACACAGAGCGTGTGGATGCCAGGCCTGAAGCAGAAGGATGCATGATGTATGTAGGAAATGGGGAGAAGGGCAGTGGGAGGGAAAACAGAGAGCAAGAGGGAATGTGTGGTAAATTCTGGGTGGGAAAATCGGCAAGGGCTAGATCATGCAGGGCTTTCCAGGTCATTTAAAGAATTTTGGTTTTCACCTTTGGAGCCCTGGGAAACTATTGAAGGATTTGAAGCAAAGAAGTGAAGTGATCACCTATGTATTTTATTTATTTATTTATTTTTTTAAATACTATTTTATTTATTTATTTGAAAGAGAGACAGCAAGAGCGAGAGATGGAACACAATGGGGG